AGGCTCTGAGCAGTCAGCACAGAGCCTGACACGGGGCTCGAACTCACATACCGTGAGATCGTGACCTGAGCCAAAGTCGGACGCTTAACCGACTGAGCCACCCAGGCGCCCCTGACCGACTTTTAAAAGAGCACCAATGTATTTGGAAACCGCTGGGTTCTGGATAACTTAAAGGTTTTACCACTACGTTCCCATTTTCTTCTTACTATATAAATATAAGAAGGAAAAATATTTCAAGCCTAAGTATTTCCCATAATCCTTAACACCCTTAATCTTTTGGGAGTCATGATCTTATTTGAAATATGAAAACTCTGGACACTTCTCAGAAAACTGCACACACATAGCGAATTTAATGAGTTTCTTGATTCTGAAGCCCCTTCATGGATGCTTCTATTATCCTTTGGGTTAAGAAGCTAGCCTTAGAAAGACACACTGATTTCCAGTTAAAGGAATGCCACGTGTCTGGTTTTTAATGTGAGGAATTGGAAAAAGTATTCAGTCATAATTTGCTTAGTCACAGTGAATTTACACATGCTCTAAAATATGATTTAGAATGGGAGAGAGCCAAAGCCTAAGAGACTCTTAAAACCTGAGAACAAACTGAGGGTGGATGGGGAGTGGGAGGGAGGGGAGGGTGGGTGATGGTCACTGAGGAGGGCACCTTTTGGGATGAGCACTGGGTGTTGTATGGAAACCAGTTTGACAATAAATTTCATATACTGAGAAGTAAAAAATAAAAAAAAGTTATGATTTAAATGCAAACATGTTATTTTGGGTATTCGAAATAAAAAATAGGCATCAAACTCAGACTTGAATTTTGACAAACCCTTACATATAATTTTTTTTTCAGTAGCAGTGAATTCATTGCTTGTTTTCATTTTCTTTTTTCTAGAGCATCTTCCTAAGCTCCAGCCCAGACCATATTCGTGTGCGAGGTACTGATATTTACTAACACATAGCATGTCTCTCCCAAAATACTGTGAATCTCCGACTTCTAAATCCTTACTAGTTCCAAATTCACCCGGTAGAAGTTTAACCTGATTTGTGGAAGACAATAGCAGGGACACGATAGGGAATGAAGGAGACCCGTCTTGGGACTCTGGTCCTGCAGGAGCACAACCACATTTAGTCCCTGGGCTGCAACCACATTCCCCCACGTGAGGCCACAGTTGCCCGGGCCTCACCTGCTGCCTGGAGTGCTGGGCCAGGCCACCTTCGCTGGGTAGCAGAGGCCGCCAGTGAAGAGATGAAAGGTTGCAGAGATCTTACGGAGTCTCGAAGCAAACAGGGAGTTGGAATCTCACAAGATGGGGGGCAGGAGGGGGGGAGCTTTTAAGGAGCAACAGATCGCTTTTCCCTGAGGAGTTAGAAGGCAGCTTAGAGCCCAGAAGGAAACCTCTCTGTGTCCAGTAAGAAAGGCTGAGTGTAGCCTGGATGATCAGTCCTGTTACAAAGTTTAAAAGTAACCTGTGTGTCTCTGCAGCTCAAATCTGTCTCACCCGGGGAAGCTTCATTTCGTTTTCAACGTCGTGGAGTTTTTGTCTCCCACCACGATGGAGGTCCTGCGGAGGGGCGTGTGCACAGGCTGGCTGGCCATGGTGGTCGCGTCCATCCTTCGTCCAGACACGCAGGTGTCCCCTGCAGAAGGCGGGCCAGCCCCTGCTCCTGAGGTACCGGGAATGTGCAGTGTGGGCGTTCTTAAAATGCTGTTTACCTGATTCGAAAAAACAACGTGGTCTTCCCTGGCATCGTCCGTTACTGTGCAGTTTATTCAAGGGAAAATTTTTGCCGTACTTGAATTTTAGAATCTCTTTCCTGGGAAGTCAGGAAAACATTACCTGCGTTCCATGTCTCTCTCAAATATTTAAAGTATGAATTTTGTAAAATACAGTCTTTTCTCCTTCCTTGTCCTGTTCGTAGAAAAGAAGGCCTTTCCTGCCAGTTGGCACAGGAAGAGTCCAGGACCATACTGAAGGCTGGTGTTGAGGTGTGCAGGCCAGAGCCTGTGTCCCAGATAAGTCCTTAACTTGGAGTCAGTCGACACCCAGAGATTAATTTTATAGCCTTTAGTTTTGGGGTACTAGAGGTTGTTTTTTTTTTTGTTTTTTTAATTTTTTTTAATGTTTATTTAATTTTGAGAGAGAGAGCACAAAGAGGGGAGAGACAGAGAGAGAGGGAGACAGAATCCAGAGCAGGCTCCAGGCTCCACGCTTTCTGCACAGGGCCTGATGTGGGGCTCGAACCCATGAATTGTGAGATCGTGACCTGAGCTGGAGTCAGACGCCCACCTGACTGAGCCACCCAGGCACCCCTAGGGTACTAGAGTTTCATCCTATTTCTTCCCTTTTTGTCACAGATGTGGTACAGAATTCGAATTAGTGCTGTTAATGTGAAGGCATAATGTGGCAAAACGGCTTTTTAAACACACGGGAGAAAAATGTGACTCTATTTTTGAACTGTGGACACTTTTACATCTGGACTTAGTGCCCATCCTTCGTGTTTTGATACAGCATGGGCAGAATCTCACTCAAGACTGTGGCAAAAGGAACAGTTTAAAGTCCCTGCTCGCCCACGCGGATGGTTGAAATTAAACAAAACATTTCAGGCTTTATCATGAAGTCGTCTTTCTCTGTGGTATTGAAAAAAAACGTACCTGTCATTTGTAGCCTTATCTTAGGACGGATGTGGTCGTTGTAAGTTATTGCAGTGGAAGAGTTCGTGCCCTGAGGGGGTAGTAAGGCTCGGTGTATACCTGAGAGGGCTTGTGGGAAACTGCTGCTTGAATTTGCCCTTTACTGCGGTATTTTGCCAGGCTGCTGCCTGGACGGAGGCGTCTGAGAGAGAGACCCCGTCTCCTCCCCTGCGCCCTGTACTCCTGGGTTCACGCATCAACAAAATATTAACCTAACACACTGTTCTTCTTTTTGTTTTTTTTAATTAAAAATATATTTTTTAATGTTTATTTTTGAAGGAGAGAGACAGGGCGTGAGCAGAGAGAGAGAGGGAGACACAGAATCGGAAGCAGGCTCTGGGCTCTGAGCTGTCAGCACAGAGCCGGACGCGGGGCTCCAACTCATGAGCCGAGAGATCATGACCTGAGCCAAAGTCGGATCCTCAACCGACTAGGCCACCCAGGCACCCCGGTTTTGAAAAGAAATACTACAATACCGACAGGACCGTACTATGTCGTACGATCCTATGAAAAGAGATGATCTCCAGAAAGTTGAACATGTGTGCGCCACACATATCACAGCCACTCAGCACAGGTGCCTTTTACACATTCTTTCCTCCCTTCCGCCCTTTTCTTGCTCCTTTCTCCGCTTTAACAGATCTTTTATTGTAGGCTCCTCAGTGTTGAGGCATTAGAAGTACCGGGAAAAGGATACGATTTCAACTGTGCTGCTTAGCACACGTCTTATTAGGAAGTGTAGAGACTGTTAAGGGTCACGTGACCCACCCCACACCCTCCCCGCGTGGGTAGATGGGACAACTGTGACAGACACCCCCGTCCCTGGGAGGCGTGGACCGCCCCTCCCGACGGTGTGTGGCCAGATCACGCCATGAGGCGCGAGCAGACGGGATGCGTGCCTGGCCCGGTGGGAGCTCCCTACCGGTGCGGCTGTGATAGGAGGATGGGACGCCACGGGTCAGGGACGCTGCTGGGGCTTGGAAGTGGGTGAAGTGGGTCTGTGGTGCAGAGAGCTATAGCCAACCCGTAGCCTTACAGGAGAGCCAGGAAGACATGTGTGGAGGTGTTGTGAGCCGTGTGGGGTCTGCTGCAGCGAGAGTGGACCGATGCTGGTTGCCTTGCGGTCCCTGTCACCAACACACTCCTGTCATACCCAGTGTATCCTGTTTTGTTTTGCCTCATGGGTCTTATTACCAGTCATTTTACGGACAAATGTCTGATTATCGTCTCTTGTTCCGAAAATGTAAGTCCTCAGAGACAGGGATCTTGTTTTGTTCATTTCTGTATCCATAGTGCTTGTCCTATTGAGTACTGGCAGGGAGACTCATACGTGAATGAGTCAAGGCCAAGGTAACATTAATGACTAGAATGAGAGCACGCATTCACTTACAGCTCTGCTGGTTCTTTGTTTAAAAAGTACGGTGTTCATCCAGTTGATGAACCTCGTATGATTTTCCTTCCACTGAAGGAGAAAACGTCTATAATTACACATGGATGTGTAGAGCAGTTTCCCATTACCCGGTATAACTTCTGCGCAGAGCAAAGTGAGACTGGAACTGAAATATATTTAGAAGTTGATTCCTTGTAAGTATTTCTGGCACACAGTTTAGAAGAACCATCTTTTGAAATTTTAGCAAAAAGGTTGTATTTATCTGTGTATTCAGCTTATTTATTCTTCCCCTTTTGCAGACACATAACATTGACCCCAGATTAACAAATACAGCACAATTCTCTAGCATCTTTGGAGCAACCCTCTGCTTTTTCCTTCAGTTGCCTAATTTGCACTGGAAACTTTCACTCCATCTTGTTAATCTTCGTTGCCCCTTCGTGTGCGAACACAGAGAATCCTGTCTTCAGGTTTTCGTGCATTTCTCCATGATATATATAATGGGTTGCCTACTAGAAAGCAGATCTTATCCACGGGCCCAGAACAAGAATGTGATTGTATCTGTTCAGTGTTCTACCTTCAAAATATACCTGTCATTTTTAAAGCACCTTTGATTTCGACGGAAAGTAAAACTTTGCAAGACAGGCTTGTGTTTTTCTCTTTAGTGGTGGAAATGTTCACGGTTTCAGTCAGATCTGATGCTGCTGTTTAATTTCTCTAGCAAAGATCATCTTGCTTACGTACCTTTGTCTAGGTTTTCTTTCGGACTCACGAGCATTGGTTTAATATTCCAGATCTCCATCTCTCCTCGAACGACCAGTTTTTTCCACTTACCGAGTGACCCCGCCGCCCCCGTCATAATGGTGGGTCCGGGAACTGGCATAGCGCCCTTCATTGGTTTCCTGCAACACAGGTATGTGCTTTCTTTGACTAGTGAGAAAATGTATCCCTTGTGATACTGGCTAGAAATACAACAGAGCACCTTTTTTGTTTCCGCAGTGACTTTTTTGGATATTGGACTTGGGTTGTAAAATTTTTATTTTAAAAAATTATTATCAAATGTGTGATCGCATAGCGTAATTTGTCACCATGGGAAAAGTAAATCTGCTGTCTCCCAGAGGTTTCGTTTTGTGTTAGAAGCTCCCTTTTTACGGCAGCACTTTATTTTTCTTTTTTTTCCCCCAGCTGCACATAGTTTATAACGTGTAGTTGGGGACAGATTTCAGGCAGCACTTTCTGTTGTGATGATGTGCACACTGTCCCATGTGTCCCTTAACTAGATAATCCTGCTACTGACGGAGATTCGCTTACACCAAAGGTTCAAAGTTAAACCCAAACGTCAGTAATTTTCAGCAGATTGATCTGAATAGATGTGTCTTCGTATCCGTATAGAACTATTTGATGTAAAACAAGTTGTCCTTCTCTCCCTGTCTGTGAAATCATGAACAATTCTTTTTGTGTGCTGGTCTCCACATAGCGGTGTAATATCCTGTGGACAGAGTCTTTTTGTTGTTTTTAGTTTATTTTCGGTTTTTCCTCAAGGAAGCAGAGAGGAAGGGCAGACGTGGCCGGCTCGTCTCATCGCTGTGTCATTTCTGAAACAGTTCTCAGCAGATTGTTCTCCTGCTTAAAGCCCGGGGCCACGTTTCCATTCCTTTAATTGAGAGTTAATTTTATTCAGAGTCGCTATCAATATTGAATGTAGAAGTCAGTGTAGGTTTCACACTGTGATGTTCTGGGTCATCCTCCTAGATCCCCACGAAATGCTCGTAGGTGCCTGCAGCCCACAGGTAATGCCTGTTGTAGCGGCTGCTAGAGGGACCGGGGATCCTTGGGAACATGGCACAGTGGTCACTCAGTGACTGCAAACCCTGCCTCGGTTTCTTGGGGGTATTTCCTGACCTAATAGCTTGGTTTTACATATATATATATATATATATATTTTAATGCTTGTTTATTTTTGAGAGACAAAATGTGAATGGGGGAGGAGCAGAGAGAGAGGGAGACACAGAATCCAAAGCAGGCTCCGGGCTCTGAGCTGTCAGCACAGAGCCCGATGCGGGGCTCGGATCCATGAACCGTGAGATCATGACCTGAGCCGAAGTCAGACGCTTAACCGGCTGAGCTGCCCAGGCACCCCAGTTTTACATATTCTTTATGTCCAACATCTCCACTTTCTTTCTCACGTAGAGAGAAACTCCAAGAACAACATCCAGAGGGACACTTCGGAGCAATGTGGTTGTTTTTTGGCTGCCGACATAAGGAAAGGGATTATTTATTCAGGTACGACACAATTCTAGTATTCTGATTCCAGGCTTTCTCAGCTTGAAAGGATGAACTTTCAAGTAACTCATATACCGTATTTCAGAGAAGAGCTCCGACACTTCTATAAGCGTGGGATCCTAACTCACTTGAAGGTTTCCTTCTCGAGAGATGCTCCTGTCGGGGAGGAGGAAGCCCCAGTGAAGTATGTGCAAGACAACATGTGGCTTCACAGCAAGCAGGTGGCCAGGGTCCTTCTTCAGGAGAGCGGCTACATTTACGTGTGTGGGTGAGTGGCCGTCAGGCTCAGGGGCCGGGTCAGCGAAGACAGTTGATGATACTTATTAAGTGAACCAGGGACTGTTAACCTAGGTGGGTAGGGATGACTGATTTGATTCCTAAGTACAGGAATAGGAATACAAGTTCTAAAATGATTTTAACATACATTTAGCAGCCAAGATGTTGTGATTATCCGAGAAATAGAAGTGAAAATTCATCCTTGCTTTTCAGAATGCCGTGTGCCGTATTGAATACATGTTTTAGCCTCTAGAAGTTCTGTTTGGTATTAAGACGTTAATCATTGAACTTGCAGTCTCAGGACTGATTTTGTTGTATCCAAGAATATGTGACATGTGCAGCTGACCTAACTAAGGAAAACTCTGGTTTTTTACTCTGAGAATGTGAATCTAAAGATCCTTTTTTTCAAGGCATAATTTATGTCAAAGTTGACCTAAGCCAGGAATTTTCTTTGTTAAGTTTTATTTACTTTTTGAAGCAAGATCAATTATAGAAATCCCAAAATTGCCATAAAAAATAAAAATTTGGGGAACTTACCAACTTGTCAGTGGAATTAAAAAAAACTGCTAAATAGAAAGGACTTTTGAAGTGAGAAGTAGTTGTTTTTAATTTTAACACATCCCTGGCATTTATTTATTTTTAAATTTTCATTTATTTTTGAGAGAGAGAGACAGGGTGTGAGCCAGGGAGGGGCAGAGAGAGAGGGAGACACAGAATCCGAAGCAGGCTCCAGGCTCTGAGCTGTCAGCACAGAGCCCGACGGGGAGCTCCAACCCACGAACCGTGAGATCATGACCTGAGCCGAAGTTGGATGCTTAACCGACTGAGCCGCCCAGGTGCCCCCACATCCCTGGTGTTTAAAACATGTTGTAAATCACCAAGTCAGGTTTTTTTGTTTGTTTGTTTTGTTTTGTTTTTAAACTGTGATACCGAAGAAGAAATACTGGTACAGTGATCTGGAATAGATATAATTGAAAGAGGTTTTATAAAACAGAGCTTTTTCTGTTGACTTCTCATGACCTGTTGTGATAATGTCTATTCTGTCTTATTGTTAAAAAAATTGGTTTTGACCGCTGAGTTGATTTTGTGACCTATTAATGGATTTTTGACTCTCTGCTTTTGGTTGATAAAGGCAGAGATTCTGGACATGATGTTGGTTTACATTTTCATTTAGCTTTTAGAGAAGTATTTGACCTTCACTTTAGAGAGTGTAGAGCTGTCAATGATGAGGAATAGGCTGGAGTTTTAGATGCAGCTCGAACTACTAGAGGCAAAGTCAGTTGCACAAGTCTACCGATAACTGATAATTGAGAACTTGGGGGCTATCTTACATGTCCAGAGTCTTAAAATGTTAACTCAGGAATAGTTCTTTACTCATTACTGGTGCCTCACTTTCCCATCTGTGCAGTGGAGTTGATAATGTGCATCATGGTGGTCTGTGGTCGGGGCTCAGGACGAGACCCCATGGTGCCCTCATGCAGACCAGCCCCTCAGCAGGAGTGATCTTGTCCCTCAGCCCAGGGACCACTGTCCCAAGCCGGGAGCCTTGTGCTGCTGACAGTCAAGAGGACAGTGGAGACCAGGAGGCATGGCAGCTGGCAGCCACAGGCACCATGGGGAAGGGCTGTGGGGATGAAACCTCCGGTGCAGTGGTGGAGGGTGGAGCACGACCAAGTCGAGGTGGCCCCTGGAGACGCCTTTCTCAAGAAGTGTTACCGCAGGGGCAGGACAGGTTCTGTTCCTGACATCTTGGAGTCCTGCCTGACACTTTGTTTTTTTTTAACTTGTTTGTTTTTAAGAGCACATGTGTGCAGGTGCGTGAGCGAGCGGGGGAGGGCAAATAGGGAGGGAGGGAGGGAGAAAGAGAATCCCAAGTAGCCCCTATGCCGTCAGCACAGAAGCCAACATGAGGCTCGATCCCGTGAGCTGCAACATCATGACCTGAGCCAAAATCAAGACTCAGACGCTTAACTGACTGAGCCACCCAGGTGCCACCAGCATCCTGTCTGGCACGGTTCAGATGTGGAGTGATAAGTGCAGTACATTCCCTGCCCCCAAACAGCTTACTCCCTGCTGGGAAAGCCACATCAGCAGGTGGTTGGAGGGGACTGCAGGGGCACAGGAGGGTCACTCACCTGTTCTATAAGTGAATAGGCTAAAACATGTCGAAGCACTTAGAGCCAGGCCCACAGTTAATGTGTCTGTTAATATTTGTGTGTGTGTGTGTGTGTGTGTGTGTGTGCACGCGCGCGTGTGCACAGGCATGTGCGTGTCCATAGGAAGGCTTGTAGGTGGAAACCTGGTTGCCCTTGGGAATGCAAGTTCCGCTGTGTGCCCGGAGAATGAAGTGGGGGGATGAAGGCCATGAGCAGAGCTAGGTTTATGGGGTCCTGAGACCTTGGACTTCGCTGCTCCTGGAGCAGGGGCGCCTTTGAGGGTTTCCAGCTGGCAGTGATCAGCTCTGGGGTTTGGATGGGTCACTGGTGAAGGCCTGACAGCTGACAGGCTGGGGCACCTGTTGGGTCGCTTCCCAGAGAGACAGAGGGAGGACCAGGGTGGGTGACGGTGGAGTCCGTGGGATTAGATGTGTGAATTACGGAGGCTTCGGTGAAAGTTCTTGTTTCCTAAACACTGACGCTATTATTCCTTTTTCTAGAGATGCAAAGAATATGGCCAAAGATGTCAATGATACCCTTGTGGAGATAATAAGCAAAGAGACTGGAGTTGAGAAACTGGAGGCAATGAAAACATTGGCTACTTTAAAAGAAGAAAAACGGTACCTTCAGGATATTTGGTCATAAAATCAAAGGAAAAGAAAAGAGTTGTGCTTTTTTGGCTGAAAGCGCTAAAAGACAATTTCACTGAAACTGAGACTTTGAATTTTTAAAACTAAATTAAAAAAGGTTTCTTGGAGGAGGTGAGGCAGGAGTGGATCACTTCCCCTTACAGCAGACTTCCGGCTTGGTTTTCCGTAAATGCCCCTGCCACTCAGCACACCGCGCTTCAGCCCCTACACTGGCGCCTCCCGGGCCGGCCACCGCGTTCTGGGGAACGTCACAGGTCCCTCCGTCCGCTCACAGGGCGTCTGTCTGTACGCGACGAGGCTTCCCAGGACAGGGCGTGGGCCCTAGAGCCGAGCGGGTGATAGTTACAGCTCATGGACTTAATTTGGCAGTTTTTATAAACAAGGTGAAAATAATTTATTCTTACGTGAACTCTACCGTAAAGAATATTCATGTACTAAAATGAACCGTGTGTGGTGTGTGATTACTTATGGACACAGACAGTCCCTGACGTCCGACGTTTTGACCTTACGGTGGGTGAGAGCGGCTCGCATCCGGTAGAAAGTGTACTCGATAGTTCGAGTTTTGCTCTTTCCCCGGGTCGGGGACGAGTGATGTCTCGCTCTCCGGTTCGCGGGACGTGGCGGAGTCCCCAGGCCCGGCCGCCGTCTGTACCCGCGCAAACGTTTTGTCTCTTTCGGTGCAGTGCTCGGTAAATCGAGGTGGTTGGCACTAAGCTGCACCTTCAGGGCTCACGTCCGTGAGGTAGGCCGGGCTGAGCGGTGACGTTCGGTAGCTTAGGCGGATTAAATGCTTTTCGACTTACGAGGTTTTCAACTTAGAATGGATTTGTTGGGCTGTAACCTCACTGTAAGTTAAGGAAGATCTGTATAACCTTGTCAAATGATTATTTATTGCCAAGACTATATTTCTGATAAAAAAATACTAAGGTAATGCTTACAGAGATTTTTTTAAATGACTTTAAAAATGTGACCTATATTTTAAAATTCTATTTTATATGACTTGCCACAATTGCTTCTTAATATCATAGTTCCAGAATTTAGGGAAATTTGCATAGTTTACAGATGCGAGCAAGTACATATTTTAGTAAAACTACACCTCCATCCCCC